GTCGTGGGGGTGTGCAGAATCGGGGGGGAGTGAGCGAGGCAGGCCGACCGCTGCAGCTGAGGAGCGCGCGAAGCAGCGGACGTCGCACCTGGTCAGCCGCGCGGCAGGGCGCCAGCCTGCTGGGTCGGCGGCAGCAGCTAGGCGCAGCCACAAGCCTTTGGGACGTCATGCGGTTCGTTAGGGCCTGCATTGTTGCTCCTGATGCCGGGATGCGTGGCTTTCGACGTTCTGTGGCTTGCCCTGTTACGCGGAGATGCTCCGAGACGTGAAACTGATCTAAACTTTAGAAGAATGACTTGGGTCCTCGCACGATTGGAGCCTGAATGAGTCGGACCTCACCCCAGAGCGTAACTCAAAGTAACCCGCATCGAGATCTCCACTCAGCTGCCGGTTGCAGGAGGCTGCAATGCTGCGATGCAAGGCACACATAACTTGACATTGACATCGTTTTCGTCGGACAAGACTTCAACCCCTGCACGGAATCAGCGTGCCACCGCCACACCAGCAGCACAAGCATAGATCGACGGCGCGCGCGCCATGATGCGCTTGATGCAGACCTGCAGTCATGCGGCGCCAACGCGACGCAGCCTGAATGGGGGATCTACTGACATGCACAATGGGCCGCTGCGGCAGCCGCGGCGCCGCACAGCCGTGGTGTTGCAATGCAGCTGCGAAAAGAGCAGCAGCACCGGCAGCACCAGCGGCGCAGCCAGCTGCTGCAGCAGCCTCGACCAGGGCCTTCAAGCCAGCAGCAACCGGCGCGCCGTGCTCAGCGGCGGGGCCGCATCTGCAGCCGCCGCATTGCTGTTTGGCCCCGCGAGCGCGCTGCTCGGCGCCCCGAGCGCCGCGAGCGCCGCGGTGACTCTAAAAATTCAGTCAAAGACGAAGCTGCGGCCTGCCTCCCTCAAGGGCGGCTACCAGCTTCTTATCCCGGACTCCTACTCAGTGGCATACGACAGGCGAGGACATGCGGCCCGATTCCGATTCAGCATGACTGGGCCCCTTGCAGTTGCACCGCAGATTAGACAAGGGCTGCCGGCACATCCCCACCCTGCACGCGATCCAACCCCCGCTTTCTGTCGCACGCCGGTGCACTCCCTGGTGCAACCACCACCCGAACGACAGGTCTGACAGCCAGGACCCAACCCAATTCTTCGCTGGCAACTTCAAAACGTTTGAAACCGTGTCGGTCAGCAAGGTGCCCCTGGCAGACATAGGGCTGCAGGCGCTCGAGGGTGAGGCTGGGCTCGGGACGCTGCTTTCTGCGGCCGCCCGCTGTGACGGATTGCTTGGGCAGAATGCCTTGAATCGTGCACAAAAAGGCGCGTACGCACGCGTGCTTACGACACACACGTACATGCATGCACGCAATCGCAAGAGCGTGCGCATGCGTGTATGGACGGACGCACGCAGTCATGCATGCACACCGGATCTGCACCCGTGCAAATGCATGTCCACGCTCTCGCGCGTGTGCAGGCCAGGATGGTCTTGGTGGCTTGACCCTTGACGAGGTGGTGGATAAGCTGCTGGCAGATGTGCGCGATAACGTGAGTGACATGGTGTCGCGGCCACACCCTTGCAAGTCGACTGCGGTTGCGCGGCCCGATGGGCAACACGGGGGCCGCAGGCGCCACCGCCTGTTCAAGGCGACCGCCCCTCGTTGCACTGGCGGAAGTCCTGACTTTTGCCGGTCCCCTCTTTGCCAATCATTGATGCGCAGCAAAGCACGTTCGGCTTCAAGGTGCTCGCAGCGCAGCCGCGGGGATCGGAGCAGCAGCAGCCCGAGGAGGGCGCCGAGGCGGGCGTCGGGAGCGAGGCTGGCAGCGGCGCCAGCAGCAGCAGCAGCAGCAGTAGCAGCAGCTCGGCACCCGTGGGGCCGTTTTGGGATGTTGAGTGAGTGGCGAGGCCGAAGACCAGCAGACTCTTTGAATGATGCCCGGGTCCCATGCGCGACAGGCATGACATCAGCATGCAGTTGGGGTGGCTGATGCCGTAAACTTGGCGCAGTCAGGCTGGGTTCATATCCAGTGCAAAGCCATGCACGTGCCTCTAGTCCACTGCCAAGTCTGTGACGCCTTGTCGCCGCCCACGCACGATGACAAACAGCCCGCCCAGTCAGGGGTCCCCGCCGGCCGCACGCTCGCAGGTATGTCCACCAGATCTGCAGGGGACTCATCTCTGAGGAGTCTGGCGGCCGGCGGCGCTGCGTCACTGTCAGCGGCGACCGGGACTTGCAGGTCTGCCCGCGGGGCGCCTAAAATGTACAAGCTTGGGGCTATATTGGGACTTTTCAGCAGCAACCAGACCCTCGCGGCGCCGCTGCTCGTGTTTGCGCATCACGCGCGATCGCGCCCACGACCCCGCGTTACGCAACGCCGCGTCCGGGGCACCTCGCCGATTGCATGCAACAACCCCGCGCCGGTCACCAAACCCAGGTGGTGTCGCGGCACTATGTCGCCGCTTTCACGTTCAAGGGCCCCTACATGTACCTGGTCAAGGCGTCGGCGCCCACAGAGGAATGGGCAGGCGCCGCGCAGCTGCTGCTCGCGTCGGTCCGCAGCTTCGGCCTGCCGGCAGCTGCAAGGGCGTGAGGCGTCGTGTGCCCGCGCGGCGAACATCAGATGTACAGCAGTGTGCTAGATCTGTAACTGCGGACCCCTTGGTCGCGTGTGTTGATCGCCTGGGGCTGGCATAAGCAATGCAGATGCCAGCTCCTCCCCACGCCACCCGGCCGATGTGTGTGTGCTTTTGACTGCTCAAAATCTTTCCATCTGCCTGCGTCGCGTCAAGGCTCACGGATGCAGGAGGAACACGCGCCCGAACTGCGCCCCACAACCGAGCTCGGGACACCTGGTGACGATGGTAACCGCACAGCCGGGGGACGAGTGGCGCTTGCGACACGCACATTGTGCGTAAAATCTGAACTCATCTATCCTACTTGCTTCGTTGTGCGACTGCAGCGAGCATCCATCGCACGGTCGCCGCTCGATTCGGGTCCTGACATCACGGCGTGCGCGTTTCTGTGACCGGATAGTGGGCATGATGATGAGGAATGTCAGCGGGTAGGATCTGTGGGACCGCATGCTGGTATACACGTAGTGCGGCACAATGCTGATCCACTCGCCACGCGCAGGTCAAAAATGCTGCTTAGACCAGGCAGTAAGTCCGTGGCAATCCCCCAAAACTGCACCATTGCCAGCGGGCCTGCCCGCCCCTGCTGCAAGGGCGCACGGCCGCGCCGCAGCGCGATGACGACGCGCGCGACCGCGACCACCACAGCGGCGACGCCCGCAGCGCCAGCACTGCCCGCGACGGGTGACCACGTGCCAACGGCCAACGCGCGGCAGGCACTGTTTGGGGTCGCAAAGGAGCAGGTGCGGCACATGGGACTGATGACCTTCCACAGGCCACCCCCAGCACCCCGCATGCGTGCTTGCAAGCTTGTTCGGTGCAGCTGACGCGGCCGCACGGCGCCGCACCTCTCCATGTACAAACTGCACGCCGCTGACTTGGCAGCTGACTAGATGTGCCATCAAACCTGGCTGTAGGTGGAGGAGGTGCCGGCGCGGGTGGTGGGCGCCATCCCAAAGTGGTTGAGTGGATCCCTGGTCGTCAACGGCGGTGCGTGAGCCGCGGCTGGGGGGCTGGTTTGCGGCAAACAGCCTTTTTCGACAGATTAACGGCGACACTCATCAGCGCCACGCCCTGCGGGCACCAGCCTCGCACCATGCCGTGCCACGGCGGGGCGGCAGAGGCGGTCGCGGCGTGCACCTACCGGCACAGGCAATGGATCTGGATTGTGGTTGCGCTCGAGTGTTTTGTGTTTGTTTGCGGGCAGCAGGCAAGGGGCAGGGGGCGCAGCAACGAGGATGCCGCCTCCTTGGCTCAAACAGGTGGTGACTACTCTCAGATGACTCATTTGTTTGATGGTTACGCGCAGCTGGTCAAGGCACGGTTCAAGGTGGGGGCCATGAGGGTACTGCGGCGGCGCAGGGTTGTGCGTTTGTCTTCCGTCGCCCAAGAAGTGCGTGTGCGTGTGTGGGTGTGTGTGTTGAGCCAGCATGAGCTGCTGCCATGTATTGTCGGCATGGGGGATGGAGGGGGTTTTCTAGGGGCGAGGAAGGCGGGTGCTACACCCACATCTTGGCGCTCTGCAATCAAGGCAGCCCTATGGCGCCATGGCTAACCCAGCTGACAATCCCAAGCTCAAGCCCAAGGTTGTGTGCGCGCCTCGCCGCACACCCACCACCCCCAGGACGGCCAGGCGTGGGGGGCGCAGCGGTACATCGACACTGAGGCCTACAGGGCGTTCAAGAGGGAGGGTGAGGGCGCGCGTGCGGCGGCGGGCTGTCGCCCTCCCTGTGCACTTCCCCCTCCCCCATGTGCCTCCCGGCCTCCCTGCCTCCCTGCCTCCCTGCCTCCCTGCCTCCCTGCCTCCCTGCCTCCCTGCCTCCCTGCCTCCCTGCCTCCCTGCCTCCCTCTCCACCCCTCCCTCAGCCTCTCTGCCCCACTCAACTCACCACGCGGCCGCTCCAATCTCACTCCGCCGCCCCCAAAGGCAAGGTGGTGTACCGCGAATTCGCGACGCCACCCGCCACCTCCAGCTCCCTGGAGGCACTCCTGAGCGGCCTGAGGGACGTCGTGGCGGTCGTGACCGGCGCCACCAACACGACTGACAACGCCAGCGTCAGCCTCCACTCTGTCGGGCCCAAGGGGGGCCGCGGGCGGTGCGTTGGGTCGCTCTCTGCTCTCTGTCCGGCCCAAGGCGGGCCGCGGGCGGTGCGCTGGGTTGGCGCCGGATGCTGTTTGGGGCTTGTAGGGTCAATCAACCCTGCGCAGAGCAGCCACAGGCGTGGGAGTGCCTGCGCTATCCACAAGAAGCCTGTTATGGTCGGGGTGAGCACGCACGTGCTGCAAAACCCCACGCTGTCGACGCATGACCGGCTTCTAAACCATGTGCAAGTCGCAGGCGGCAGCTGCTGGCTGTGTCTGAGACGCCCAAGGCGTCCTACCTGATTGATCCCGACACCCTCGCCACAATCGGCCGGGTGAGGGCCCGGAAACCGCCCCGCTGGCCTGGAGCCGCCGCAAGCTTTGTCCGTTGCACCCACCAGCCCAACTGCAGAACCCTTGCCCGGCAGCCCACCCTCGCGTTGCACAGTAACCCAGGGCGGCGCGCCCGCCGTTGATTTGCAGCCCGCCGGCCGAAGCCACCCCAAGCCCCCGGGTCCGCCGCGCTCGCGCAACCTGCCGCTGCTGCCGCAGGCGTCTTTCCCGGACAAGGTCAAGGGGGACCTCACCACCGCGCACCCCACCATCATGGGCGACGGCACTATGCTCAACTTCACGCGTTCTCTGCCCTTTGGCGGCTTCCACATTTTCAAGCAGGCGAGCGCAGACCCCCCACCTGCTCGACGCTTTCATATCTGACAGCTCGAGAGCCGCGCAACCAGTTTGTCAGCTGGGGGTAATGGGAGGTGGTGCATGCGTGACAGCGACGCCCACCTGCTGCACCCCGCGGCTTGCCGCTGCCTGAGCGCTCGCGCTGCAGCTGCAGCTGCACACATGCTGTCGTCGCTGTCGCTGCTGCAAACACAAACAACGTTGCTATTGATATGTTGGGGCCCATGCTCGCCATTTTCACCCCTGCACAAAATTTACCTCCACATTGCATGAACCCGCCGCAGGACCCCGAGACCTTGAAGCGGACAGAGGTCGCGTTCGTCGCCGACCGCCGCCCCCTGACGCCCGCCTGGCTGCACGACTTCCCGTCGACTGACGAGTGAGCCGCCGTGCCCGCCGCGCTGATCCGTTTTTGACTGGTCTCCTGCCTCTGCGCGTGCGGACCAATATCACATGCGCCATTCATGTCCATGTTCAGCCTCGTTCCTGCCACAAACATGTTGAGCCCAGCCCCTCTCCACTGTACCCGGCTCTCCGTTTGGCACATGGCCACGCGATGACGTTAGCTACGCCGTCATCATCGAGCACCCGCTGTACATAAACCTGGGCTCCCTGCTTTTCGGGAACCCCCGCCCCTACGTATTCATGGACTGGCAGCCAGAGGACGGCACCCGCATTACGGTCGTGCGCCTGGACGGCAGCGAGGTGAGCCGCGGCCGAGATGCCCGAGGAAAAGATTGCGTTGTTCACATGCAGATGCATGGCCGCCGCCGCTGCTCCTGCCGCCTGGAGAAATGCGCTTGCTTGGTAGTCTTTTCAGCGCCGGGATCCAGGTGCCAGGCTGCAGTGGAATGCCGGCCAGCCAAGGGGGAACCGGGTGGTCGAGCAAGGGCGCTGCGCTCTGAATTTGGCGCAACCTGACCTCAGGGGGCTCCAGCCCGCAGCACCGCGTCACCAGCACTGCGGCGAGCCTGCGCACATCCCGCGTGTCACTCGGGCCAACTGCTCGCGCTTCTCGCCGCCGGCGCCGCCCCTTTCCTGCCCCTCCACCGCAGCCGCAGCGCGTGTTCGATGCGCCGCCCTTTTTTGTGTTCCACTACGGCCAGTGCTACGAGGCCACCGCCGCCGACGGCTCGCGGCAGCTGGTGCGCGGCGCTCCCTGTTTCACGCTTCGTATTGGTCCTGCAAACATGCGCGTCAGATTGATACCTGAGCATATGCCATAGCCAATCCTTTTCTTGGCACGTGACAGCTACCACAGAACTGCTCTTTGAGGGGCTCGCCTGGCTCATCCATCATCAGCCATCCAATGCCTTTATCCACATGTCTCAGTGCCCCTCCATTTTTGCTCTCCTTTACATTTGCTCATCACCATCCCTCGCTATGCTGGGTTTGTCCCTCAACCCCACCCAGCGTGCTGCCCACCCTGCGTGCTGCCCACCCTGCGTGCTGCCAACCTTGCATACTTCTTAACCCCAGGTTGTGGACATGGCGGCCTACGACGACCCCACCATCCTCAACGACCTCGGCCTGCAGCCACTAAAGGAGCCCCAGCGCCAGGTCAGCATAACTGCACGCCACCAGGCCCCTGAGACGCGGCGCCGCACTGCTCGCGGAACGCGGCATTGCGTGGCGTCAGGGATTGCGTGCATGCAGGGTGCCACGGCTGAGGGTTGTTTTTTCCGGGGGGAGGATGGGCTCCCTGCTTTGATCCATCAACCATACTTTCTCCAGGTGGCAGCACGCTTCTTTAACATTTCGCAAATGCCTGTGGGCGGGCTGGACCCCACCTCTGTGATCCAACTCGCTCGCCTTTCGCGCCCTCTTGACGCCGCCCAGGTGTCTCAGAGCTACTACAAGCGCCTGACCATCCCCCTCAGCGGCCCAGCCACCTCCTTGGTCAGTCGCGAGCCGCCCCCACCTTCCTATGCCACCCGGTCCTCCGTGCCCTGCCGCCCCGTCTCTCGCCCCGCTGGCCGGCTGCCCCAAACGTGCTGCGCCAACCGCATCCGCTTTCTTGTCCACCAGCAATTCAGCTGACCGCCTTCGTCCCCCCCCTGCCTCCTTGCCGACCCCCCGCAGCCCGCGCCCACCCCGCTGGCGGCAGACCCCTCGGCCAACGATTTTTGCGAGTTCCCGGCCATCAACCCCGCCTTCAGGGGCCGCCCCTACCGCTACGCCTATACGCTGTCGGCCGTGCGCCCCACCAACATGGGCAACGCGCTGAGCCGGATCGACGTGGCGACCGGGGAGACGCTGACGTGGCACCAGCCGGGCGCGGCGATTGGTGAGCGGGACCTCTGAGCTGCAGGAGGCATGGCCCTGTTTTGGAGCCGCTCGTCGTGTCTGGCCGGCTGCTGCCTATGGGCTTGTCTCCTGGCTCGGCCGGTCCTTCCCATGTCGGCGACGGCGCGATGTGGGCGGAGCGGGAGGGGGACACACACCGCCTCCACCCGACGCGTCGCTGCCCCCGCATTCCTGTGCCCGCCCGCACGCGCGCAGGCGAGCCGCTGTTCGTCGCAGCGCCGGAAGCGGCCGCAGAGGACGACGGGGTCGTGCTCGCGCCTGGCGCGGCGCCAAATGGCGGCGGCTTTGTGGTAGTGTTGGATGCGAAAACCATGGCGGAGCTGGGGCGCGTCGAACTGCCGTTTGAGGCGCCTTACCGCTTCCACGGCATCTGGCTGGACGGCCGGGAGTAGTGGGTCGGCGGCGGACGCCTGTTGAGACTGCTTTTTCTTTCTCGTTTTTGTGGTTGGCGGGATGTGCGGGGGACAAGCAAGGGGGTGGGTCTGGTGTGTGCAGCTGCCGCACATGCGTGAGTGCCTGGCCATGCTGCTCGGACTCAGCGCTGCGACGCTTTGACCGAGATCCTCGCCTGTGACGGCCTTGGAAAGAGCATCTCATCAAGAAATGCGCAGGTGGCGGCCGGCGTTGCATCACTGCTGGCAGGCGTCGGCTGATGCCGTTGGGGTCAAGTCGACTCTTGCCCTTCGACACGCCAGATGGGCGGGTCGGGCGGCGACTTCATTTTGACTTCAATATGCGTTGCGTGGCGTTGCGTTTTGCACGCTGAACAGCGAATCAAACGACGTGCTAGCAATCATCTCAAGCCTGGCACCCACTGAGCAGAGCGCAAAATGATGCAGCAGCTCCCAGCTGTGTGCTATTGTCAGGTGGGAAAGCGCCGACCAGGACATCAACAGCTCTCTCCAGGCACGTGGATGTGCCAACAAAGCTGAATTCCAATCGCCTCATGCATCAATCCAGGTCGCGGTGGCCAATTGTGTAAGGGGCATCTTGCCAAAGCGCCCGGGCGCAGCCACTCCCGGGCTACTGGCGTGGTTGACCGCAATGGCGGCTTTGTGGCGTTTGCTCTGGGCTGTGCAGCGGCCCTGCTTAAGTCTGCATTTGTTTCTAGGTACAGCTCCTGGTACAATTGTGATACCGGTGCAGAAGGCTTGCGAGTGATCTTGGAGGTGATTCGCAGTGGTTCCACTTTGTGCAGCTTCCTGACAGCGATGGTAACATATGCTACCATCGCGTGAGGATCGACCTTCCGCACGCTTTCGCTCCCACCATAATTTCGTCAGGCTTGCTGAAGCAGATCTTGGCGCTCTGTGTCTGAGCAGGCCTGAAGATCGCTGGCTCCGCACCCGGCACACACATCTTCCAGAACATTTACCCGTGCTTGCTTTGTAGAGCCCTGACGTTGGGGATTGGTGTGCACTCGCAGATGCGCAGTGGCGCCCGACAGCTTGTCGGCGCGCACACGGCCAGCGCAGCGTGCCGCGGGTCGCCGCTAGCCGCCACTCAGGCGGGCCGGGAGACGGCGGATCCGCAGGCGCCCATTCCAGCCGGCGCGCCACAAAGCGCGTAGGGGCTGGGCGTGGCGGGACGCCGGCGGGCGCCGCGCCGGCGCGCGGGCCGCTATGGCGCAGCAGCGGGAGGTCATTGACACGGTCTCCAAGGTGAGGCTCCGGCGCCAACCCATTCCCTGCAAACCCACACATTTCTTCTGCGCATGAGCCGTGCTGCGCCCCGACCGCGTCAAGCTGCACGCGACACGCCCAATTCTGCAGCCGTGCCGCGGCGACCCCGTGGCGTCTTCGATGCCGCCTGCAAGGCGCTGCTCGCGACGCACCTGCCGTCGCGAACGGCCCCCGCGCGGCTCCCAAACTGGCAGGCGTGCGCGTACGGGGACTTTGACGCCCTGCGGCGCTACGTGGAAGCTGACCCCACTTGCGTTAACGCGCCGGACGAGCAGGTTTGTTGACGTGGCTCAGAGGCGTGCTTTGGGGGCCGGGGGGCTGCCGTCGGCGTTCGTGCGCCATCACAAGGGATCAGACATGCCAACGAGCGGTGCCGGCGCGGCGAGCCAAGTAGTGTGCAGACGCAGGTCAGAGCAGCGGCAGTAACGTCGCCTCTCCCGTCCCCGGGACTGCCGTCGATGCCGCTTCGAGACATGCGCCCGCCTCGTAACACTGTCAAGCGGCGCCCGCCTTGGCTGCCGCGCAGGGCTACATCCCCCTGCAATGGGCCGCCCTCAACAACCGGGTCGCCGAGTGCACGTACCTGCTTTCCAACGGCGCCGACATCAACGCGGCAGACTCCACCGGCCAGACCGCGCTGCACTGGGCGGCGGTGCGCGGCAGCCTGCCTGTGCTGGAGACGCTGCTGCGCAACGGCGCCGACGCGGGGCTGGAGGACGCGAGGGGGTACACCATATGCCACGTGGCCGCGCAGGTGTGCGGCGCGGCTTGCGTGTGTCGTGCGCCGCGCGTGGGCGGCCCGCGACGCGCCGGGGCCCAGGGCCGGCAGTTTGCGGGGTTGCTGGAGGCGGCAGGTGCTTCGACACTGGGCCGGCGTCGGCTTTGGGGCGCTCCTTGCGAAGGCCCGTCAAGCCCTCATGCGGCCGTGCTTGGCATGATTTTGTGTCGCCTCTTACTGTGTATATGATGTGCAGTACGGCCAGACCGCGGTGCTGTTCCACTTGGCCATCAAATGGGGCGTCGATGTGGACTCGCCAGACAGCGACGGCCGAACGCCGCTGCACTGGGTGCGTGGCGCGGCGGCTGCCGCCCGGCGGGCCGCGGCCTGGGGGGTCCGGGTGTTGCGCCAGAACCGCCTCTGCTGCGCTTGGTCCTGCAGGGGTGGGGCCGCAGGGCCGACACATTGCTGGGGTTGGTGCCTTGACACCCTTGCACGCTGGGCCCCTGGTTCGCTCCGTCGAGGGCCGATCGTCCTTCCCCGGTCGTCCCCTTTGCTGGCTGCCCGCTGCCGCTGACAAGGCCCCCTGCGATGCCGCGTCCCTGCAGGCGGCCTACAAGGGCTTTGCTGACGCGATCCGGCTGCTGCTGGTGCTGGACTGCCGCTACAGCCTGCCCGACAAGGAGGGCTGCACGCCGCTGCACTGGGCCGCAATCAAGGGCAACGGCGAGGCCTGCACCGTGCTCGTGCAGGTGGGGGGCGCTCGGGAGAGGGGGCGGGCTGAGGGGGAGGAGGCGTGAGATGTCGCCTGGCCAGGGGCGCAGCTGAGCCGCTGTGCCTGAAATTGTGTGTGTGTGTGTGTGTGTGTGTGTGTACGTGCGTGCGTGCGCGCGCACCTGCAAACGCGTATGCGTGCATGTGCCACCTCTGCAACATGACATCTGGCGCGGCAGCAGCATCAGCCGCGACCACCAGC